GGCTATCAAGAGGACTACAGCAACTCTGAAGCAGTTGCAGGAATTTATGACAAAGAGTGGTCATTGTGTGCATGTGACAACAATATCACAAATTCTCTACAAATGTGGCTTGTATGGGAGGGTTGCAAGAAAAAAGCCACTCCTCAAGAAAGGCCACATGCAGTCACGACTGAGCTTTGCCAAAACACACCTTGAAGATTCTGAGGCAGATGAGACTAAAATTGAATTTTTTGCCTCAACACCAAACGTCTGTTCGAAATCCAATACAGCTCACCATCCAAATAACATAATTCCTACAGTAAAGCAGGGAGGTGGTAATATCCTGTTATGGAGATGTTTCTCTGCAGCAGGGACTGGAGCACTTGTCAAGATAGAAGGAAAAATAGATGGGGCAAAATACCGTCAAATTCTTGAAGAAAATCTGCTGCCCTCTGCCAGAAAGTTGTCAATGGGAAGAAGGTTTACCTTCCAACATGACAATGACCCAAAGCACACAGCAAAACTGAGCACAGAGAGGTTGAAGGAGAAAAAGGTGAATGTCCTTGCATGGCCTAGTCAGAGCCCAGACTTAAGCCCTATTGAAAATCTGTGGAAAGACTTGAACACTGCAGTCCACAAACGCTCACCATCAAATTTAACTGAACTTGAGCAGTTCTGCAAAGAAGAGTAGGCAAATATTGCAAAGTCTAGATGTGCAAAGTTAGTAGAGACAGACTAAAGATTTCAACAGACTAAAGGCTGTAATTAAAGCAAAAGGTGGTTCAACAAAATACTGACACAAGGGGTTGATTCTATACAAGGGATTTTCTATACCCACTGTACAGTGTGTGTGTGTATATATACAGTGGGTACGGAAAGTATTCAGAAATCAATAAAATACTCCTGGAAATCAATTTAAGGGGGTAAATATGGCCTTTTAATAGGAAAGTTAACTTCTGTCAGTATAATTTGTAAATAGTTTAATTTGTAAATAGTTTTCTAGTTATATTAACTGTATTTATTGTATCAAATTAATGCTGTCACCCTAATTTAGATCCACATAAACACTAAATTTGGCAACATCTCATAGCTAAAAATAATGAAGATACTGCCTCATTATCTAGTTTTTGCAAGCTACTTTCAAAAGGGCAGCTTTACTGAATTACTTTTTATTATGAGTATCCTGCCTAACTAAAGCAGCTTCCCTGACACAACACTATTAAAATAATACTTAAAAAGTTCATGCTTTAAAAAAAAAACAGCAACAGCATCTTACAATACTCCCTCTAGAATACATCAAAATACTCAAATATAATCGTGCATATGTTCGCTTCATCGTTTCTGAGAAATACACCGGTGGCAAATAAAAGCACACCACAGGAGAACAAAAAACATTTGTTTAGTCTATCCTTGGAGAAGCCTCACGCTACTCTGTTTCAAAGCAAAAGGAATGTGTGCAACAACTGATTATGCAACTAGAATGTTAAACAGACCATCTGGGATTGTTTGAAAATGCACGGTGGAAATATCAGTACTTACTGTATAATCGCATTAAAGCATTCCTTACATTACCGTTGCCATGCTATCTAATAACAATTCTCTTCCCTGTCACTTTAAATACTGACAGCACACAAAAGCAACCTGCCCGTACATGCCTAAATATATAACGATAATAAATTCAAAGCTCACAGCTCATTTGACATTGCAAATTCCCATAATGCACTAGGCTCTGTGCAGATCAGCATGCGTTGTGTAACTGTTTAAGGCATGTAGTTACAGGAAGTGATGGCATTGCTCTGGCCCACTTCACAGGAGTAATTGTGTTTCAAATGACAGCCTCTGTGTCTCATTCATTACGTCTGTGTCGGTTATGAAAAGCCACTGGGAGAAACACAGAGCCGTGTTGAACTCCTCAGCAGAACTGGAGAGCATCTTTCACTGTTGAAGCTACAAGCCTCTATGGAACAGTCTGTCTCAGCACAAGAGAAAAGAAGTGCAAAGTGGGAAAGGGTGATGCCCTTATCACAGCTGATGCTGTCAGTGTCATTAATTTGCTCTGTATCCTTGTCCATTAAGAGTAATTGGAGTACTTTAGTTCAAGGATCAAGACAGATGTGTAGGGCCTGTGGAGGTGAGGAGAGCTTGGACAGTGTGCCATGGGAGAAAATGTTCACACTAATCACATCAGAGTTTAAAAGGAAAGTACAGTTCAGCTAACTTTTTTTCTTAATTCTTATGGCTCAGAAAACATTCAAAAGTAACATTCCCATTATGCTCTCAAAATGATAAAATGGAACATTCTCTTAATGTTTTCTCTAATGTTCACATAACCAAGAACGAAAATGTTTTTAAACATTTTATTAAAAAAATTGGACATTTTGAATGTTCAGAGAACAACAACAGGAACATTAGCAAAACATTCCCAGAACACAATTCCGTTAGCTGTCCACACTAAAAGCAAAAATACTACATGATGTGTACAATTACAGCCAATTTGATGTTTAACCCTAAAAAGCCTACACAAGTTACTAAGGCCTCTAAACTATCAACATGGTCAAAACTTTACTGAAAAGCCTGATGTACACAATCAACTGCATGCCTTCTGAAATTTGGTTAATAGTTTATACTTTATTAGCAAGTCAAAGGCCTTTTAGTATAATTGTAAAAACATCCACTTTCAGGTTACGGTTCATGTGCCTTTTTTAAACTAAAGAATAAAGTTTTTATACACTAAAGAATAAATTATATATTGTTAGTAATATTTCATGATGAACACTTACTGGACTGAAGGAAATTAGCTTTACTTGACTATCCATCCATATTATTTATTTATTTGAGAAAAATAATGTTAAAATGTGAGCATCAAATACATCAGGCTTTTGATCTCATAATCATCATAGTTTCATCATTGTATAATCATTATTGAAACCTAAACATTTAAATATAATCTTACTAAGACAAGACATTGTTGGCAGATATAGAGTGACAACTAATATTTATATGCATTTTCTGTAAGTAGTCTGCTATTCAGTTATAAATACGTATATTGATTTACATTACAATTTTTTTTATCTTACTTTTTGGCCACATAAATATCAGCAGCTGCTCCAAATTGCATATTTTTGGTCAGTTTGGACCACTGAATAAAGCCTCTGTCTTTTACCTGCTTGAATATGAGAAAAATATAAATATGAAAAAAAACATACACAAACTTATATATTTTGTCACACTACCCAATTTACTATTATTGCCCAGCTCTTTAGAATTAAGCTTCATTAAACTGATCTTATTAATATGCTTGTGATGTCTTGCATAGTCAGTGCTACCTTGTCTGCTTGTCCCAGATAATTCATGAGTTTCTTTGGTTCCAGGTGAAGTGGCTCCAACACATCCTCAGCACAGCTCCATCTGAGTGAACTGTAGACTCTACGGGTCAGTGGTTCCTGTCTGTGGTGAAATCTGTCCCAAAACATCTCACATTTATATGGTTTGTCAACCTTGCGTGGTCTAGAATATGAAGAGAGATCGCTCTGAACTGCCATTTTCACTGTTTTGAGTTGAGAGCAGATCAATTATCAGTCCATTAAAACTATAATGGTTTATAAACTGTACACTACCATTCAAAAGACTGGGGTTAGTATATGAATTTGAAAAATGAATAGGTTTATTCGGCATGGATGCTTGAAAAAATTCTATTTCACATAAATTCACTTTTTTTAAACTTTCTATTCATCAAAGAAAAAGTGTATCACTAAGAAATGTTTCTTGATCATTAAATCAGCACATTCGATTGATTTCTGAAGGATCACGTGACACTGAAGACTGGAGTAATGATGCTGAATTTTCAGCTTTGCCATCACAGGAATAAATTACATTTAAAATATATCAAAATAGAAAACAGTTATTTTAAATTGTAATAATATTTCACAATATCACTGTTTTTATCGCATTTAATCAAATAAATACAGCTTTGGTGAGCATCAAGTTTCTTTCACAAGAGCATAATTTCTTTCACAAGCATTAATAAAATCTTACTGACCCCAAACTTTTGAAAGGCAGTTCAGATATAGTCAGTTATATAAAAGCAGCAGCAGTCTTCACCATAAAGTCTTGCAGTGCAAACTCAGCCTAATGTTGGCCGTTTGGTCTCCAGTGGTAACAAGACAATTTAAAAACCAGTCTGAACCTGTCCTGTCCGCAGTATTTGAACCCATGCTGGATGAATTATTAGCACAGTTGTGCATCACATATTGTTCAGGCCATATTGTATATGTTTAGAATAACAAGCATCTTTATAATTACACTGAGTGAATTAATATTCTATTATATATATATTTTTAATCATATTGCACACCAGGTACAGACTCCCAATATTCAGTAGATTAAATAGAACCTAAACACAACAATAAAGTGTTGAGCTAATATAATTGTGCAGTCAGCTGTACGCCTCTATAGTCGGCACTGAGATTAATAAGGGTGAGTTGGCTGCACTGGGTCCATTAAAGAAAGTCCCCTGTGCACTCTTTCATTCAGATTCCAGGAAATAAAGTTAACAAGCACTTAGACACCTTCACAATCTCTATGTAGACACCTCAACACTTTAATAGTTTCTACAACACCATTGACAATCAGTTCAATAAAAAGCCCTTTCCCTGTCAAAGGCTAAGCAGGACGTTACTTGTTCGTTCTCATCAAACAGCTATTTGTTGCTTCCATTTAAATCTATAAATATCCTTAATTAGCATCTCCCATAGAGCCCCTTCACCCCACCAGCAGCAGACTGAAATACCTAGCCATCACTTCATTCCTACATTCTCCTCTGGTAGCATCATGGTTAGTGCTTAGTAAGTGCTAAAACACGAGGACGCTATATAAACAGCTTCTGCGATGTCTGCCGGTCACATTTGGGTTTGCTTTCATTGCGCAGTGGTCTCATTTTTGTATAGTTAGTGCTTCTTTTGTCATACTGTGGCTGGATCTTCCAAGATTTTTTCTTCCTTACACTTTTCGATTTTCTCACTATGGCGGATGCTATCAAGTCGCCATCCAGGCCTCAATATTGTCATGATGTATCTTGGAATCCCCTGAGCTACAGATGGCCCAGCGTAATCTTTAACCAACATTACGGCCTGCCTCCGTTATTGGACCCTCAAGACCTCAGCTGGATGGAAGGCATCTTCAGAAGGCTGGGGACATCATCTTGGCCCGGGTACTTGCGCACACCCGTGTTCGCTCCCTTTACTCAGGCCTCAGGACAGCCCATGTCTAAGCTGCAGAGGGAGATGAGTGGAGGGGTGTCGGAAGCGGTTGGTGAGATGTGCAAGTGGAAAATTAGCTTGGATGTCAATCACTTCGCTCCCTCGGAGATCACGGTCAAAACACAGGATGGATTTTTGGTAATTGCAGGTATGGGTGATAAATAGTACTATTATATAGCATGCATTAAAGAGGACAGACATACAAACATATATACATACATATAAAAGACTTGGTAAAATGCTGTTTACAATAGTTTTAGAAGAACAATGCAAGATTTTAAAGGGGTCATATGATGCAATTTAAATTTTTCCTTTCTCTTTAGAGTGTTACAAGCTCTTGGTGCATAAAGAAGATCTGTAAAGTTGCAAAGACTAAAGTCTCAAATCCAAAGAGATATTCTTTATAAATGTTAAGAGTCAACCACGCCTACCTAAAACGGCTCGTTCTAACACGCCCCCACATGTCTACGTCACGATGTGGGAAGATTTGCATAATGCCGCCCAAATGTTCACACAAAGAAAGAAGGCGTAACTTTTATTCTCGCTGTAGTATTGTTGTTGCCGCCGCCGCCATGCCGTGAAGGCGCTGTGTGTTTCGCTGTGAAAGCAAAACTAATTTGTTTGGCCTTCCAAAAGAGGATGATATCCGCTTCGTCATGCCTCGTCGTTTCTCCGATCACAAATGCAGACATGGTTTTATGTTTACGTGGCATGATGCAACGCAACGCATAAAAAGACAGTATAAGTCATTATAATCCGTAATTATGTCCCCACTGGATGCAACAAATGCCTCGTTTATAATGGGTTTTAATGTTTTTGACTCATCGCTCTGGTACATGGCATCACAATATGGTAAGGGGCGTAACATTCCCATCACATGCTTGAGGTATTCGGCCAATCATAATGCACTGGATAGCTGGCCAATCAGAGCACACTTCGCTTTTCAGACCGATGAGCTTTGTGAAAATTGATGCGTTTCAGAAAGGAACAAAGGAAATAATGTACAGTATGTGGAAAATAATGTGTTTTTTGAACCTTAAACCGCATAAACACATTTCATTACACCAAATACACAAAATAATGTTCTTTTTAGCAACATCATATGACCCCTTTAATATCAGCTACCAAATGCAACAATGCAAGAATTTAATATCAGCTACCAAATGACACATTATTTATTTATTTTTTGGAAATTCCATTCATAATAATTTACTAAATAATTTACAAAATATATAATATGCTCTTCTATGAGCTAAAGTTATTCTTCTCAATGTGTATTAACATCTTTGATCTATAGGAAAGCATGAGGAAAGACAAGATGAGCACGGCTACATTGCTAGATGTTTCACAAGAAAATACATCACAAAATAATGTTCTTTTTAGCAACATCATATGACCCCTTTAATATCAGCTACCAAATGCAACAATGCAAGAATTTAATATCAGCTACCAAATGACACATTATTTATTTATTTTTTGGAAATTCCATTCATAATAATTTACTAAATAATTTACAAAATATATAATATGCTCTTCTATGAGCTAAAGTTATTCTTCTCAATTTGTATTAACATCTTTGATCTATAGGAAAGCATGAGGAAAGACTAGATGAGCACGGCTACATTGCTAGATGTTTCACAAGAAAATACACGTAAGTGTTAACAAATTCATTTAAAAGTTTGGGGTTGGTGAGATTTTTTGAGGATGATCATCAAGGCTGTATTTATTTAATCAAATATACAGTAAAAACAGTAATGTTGTGAAATATTATTACAATTTAAAATAACTTTAAAATGCAATTTATGCCTGTGATGGGAAAGCTAAGTTTTCAGCATCATTACTCCAGTCTTCAGTGTCACATTATCCTTCAGAAATCATTCAAACATGCTGATTTTTTTCTCACCATTTCCTAAGACTCCCAGGTGGTGTTGATGCTGAAAATCTCCAGTCGCATCTGTCCGCAGATGGGATCCTTACAGTGGAGGCACCATTACCCAGCATTCCCCTCCCTGCTGATGTCAATATCCCCATCCAGGTATTGATTAGTTCTGACAGCTGTTTAATCTTTAATCATACAGTCTGACCATATTCACTAATTGAAGCTCAACATTAGGCACTGAGTGTTCTGGGTGGCATGCATTGCACTTGTTTATAATATGTCACCATTACATTTAAGTGGTGCTTTCTGCCATTCATGGTGAAATGGCACCATTATTATCATTATTGAAAACTTTTCTAGGTAAATTCAAGGGTAAACACTACCCATCCATCCTCCGGTACCTAATTGGTTTTGTATAAGAGACATTGCAGGTAGAGTAACTGTTTCTCAGGAGCTGTAATTTTAGCCAGTCTATTGGCAAAAAGCTGACAGCAATTTAATTTTGCAGGAGAAGCTAGGTTGTAATACAGACATGCGAGAATAAAAGGATTTCTCAAAACTTATTATTTCAATTATTTTGTTGTATTATATTATTGCATGAGATGTGGCCATTCAAATGAATTTGCATCACTTTAGAATGTAGATATTTTTTATCTGTTGCATGTCTTTGTCAATTTATGCCAATTTGTTAAGCCATGCCGTCACAACAGGCTGCAAAAAATATATATATATTTTTTTATATTAAAGCAATACGGATTTCATAAATAATTAGAGGTATACAATTCTACAATTTTGTAAATGTCAAATGCCAGATTTGAAGTCAGTTTATAAATTAATCATCCAGCAATTCCAATTACCAGGCTCATAATTGTTCTAATAACCAACAAAGAGATCAAATGAAAGCTTATTTTCCCGCAGGGGACATATGGCCTTTCTTCACAACCCAGAAAATTAATAATTTTTGTGTACACTGACCCTGGCATTTTAGGGTCTTGATGTGGCATTTAAGATCTTGACTTCATTTAAAGACTGTTTCGCGTTTGCCACAGCTGGAGGAAACCGTTGGAGGAAAACAAGAAGATGCTGATGAGCCTCAAGTTGAAGCAGAAGCGAAACCAGAATCATTTGAAGGAGAAACGCCTGAACCCTCAGTCTCAACTGAGCTTCCTGAGGGTGGACAGATCACCGAACGAGACCAGCAGACTGTATCTGATGTAGATCCATCTAGAGAACCACAACCCCAGTCCA